AAGAGAGAGGAAACGGGAGAGAAAAAAAGGGGCCCCGGGTTTTTTCCAACCATCAGCCCCACTGCACCTAAAGTGATGATGTTCCTACAACAGAGGCCCATCATCATTCTAGAACCCCTATGTCCCGGGGGAGAACCCTTCTGTGTTCCAGTGCTTGATTGACATTCCATTTGTCCCATGAAAGGTGACTGTTTCAACCTCATCTGAGCTCAACACTACAAATAGAAATGTGTCCATATTTCTGTATTCCTGCTCTGGCTTTAGATGCTATACACACAAATACACATCACTCCAATAGGATGACAGTGTGTTTAACTTCTGACAATGAACAGGATGATGTTATTTCTTTCTGTGCATCACAAAGTTTCAAGAAAACACCTTTTTCTAATGAAATGACAAAAGCAATGTTATTCTGTATGGAACAGTACAGAAGACTTCTATCATGCTTTTGAGTGCCACTTCCATCATGCTTTTGTGACAGACTGTTTTCAAAAGATGAGTCCATAATAAATGTAATTATTCCCCTCTGTTCTGCAAGATAATTAGGAGGAATTTAGGTCTATACCGTCGGTTTCTTTTCACAATGAAAGCATGCTTTTCTAACTCAGTGATGCTTTTTGACCGCTTTTAATTTATTTAATATATTTTGTATTATTTTACACATTTGTATTTCTCCACGAAACAGGGCTAAATCGAAGGTCCTGAACTAAATATGCGTTTCTGAAGGAGATGACCCTTAGTTGTGCACGCGAGAGTCCATGTGACGTCAGAGAGACAGGACTCAAAAGATGAGTCCATAATAAATGTAATTATTCCCCTCTCTTGAATATTCTATGGCATATTTTTATATTAATATATGCCATACTTATACATCTATATTGCATACTTTTATAGGTATCTGAGAATACACTTCATCTGTCAGACCGTGATTATTGTCATGTTCCCTTCACATCAATCATTCATTCATAGTGCGCGTAGTCAACAGTAAACACACACACTCTTCTCCTCTCTGCATACTTCAACTATAATACCGTGGGAGGGGCATGGAGTTAATGTGAGAGAGGAAAAGGCATCACAGCAGGTGCTCACACACACTCACACACACACACACACACACACACAAACACACACACAAACACACACACACACACACACAAACACACACACGGTAATGTGAGAGAAAAAAGCATCACGGTAGATAAATGCAGAAAGGAGGAAAACTCCAATCACAACTTCCTTCAATCACTATACGGTACAGAAAGGTACATTTTAATATGTCCTACCTGAAAGTACGAATACTATACAATTTTAATCACTATTTAACATGTAGATGCTTTTTGTGTCTCTCAGGTTTGGCTTTTTCAGCAGAAAAGATTGGGAGAAGAGGTACAGCTGGTAATGTCTTGGCAGAGAGGAGAAAAACATGGTTTAAATGTCTCTGATGAAAAATCACTTAAAGAACACTGAGAGAGAGAGAGACGGCTGGCGATTGCGGTGAAAAAGAGAGAGTGAGAGAGAGCGAGAAAGAGAGTGCATAGAAATGCTTTATGAAGGTGTTTTAGTTAAGTAGAGCGATGGAGAAAAGTTTAGTTCCCCCCTCTAAGAGCATTTGATCTTCTCTCATCCTCCTCTTGTATGATGAAACAAAATGATATAATACAATAGAATAGAATGCAATAGAACAGAATGCAATGCAATACAATACAATAGAACAACAAAGAATATAATTGAATATTGGGCATTTATTTTGTCCATATCTACTAATTGGATTATCAAATTCCTCTACTTAATTTCTACTTCCTAACTCGCTTCATTCTGGGGAAGAAATAGCTGACCCAAGGTCCTCTCTCTCTTCGCTCTACGCGCTCTAACGAGGAGAAAGAGAGAAAAAGAGAGAGAGCGAAACAAGAGAAAGAGCGAGAGAAAGACGAGAGGAGAGAGAGAGAGAAGGAAGAGAGGAGAGGAGAAAGAGAGAGAGAGAGAGACAGAGAGAGAGAGGAGAGAGAGAAGAGCGAGAGTAGGAGAAAGAGAGAGAGAGAGATAAGGATCTAGCGAGAGACGTAGAGGAGAGAGTAACGAAAGAGAAAGAGAACAGAAGTACGAGACTGATAAGAGAAAGAGATCTCTCTCTCTTCTCCCTCTTCTCCTCCTCTCTCTCTCTCTCTCTCTCTCTCTCTCTCTCTCTCTCTCTTTTCTCTCTCTTTTCTCTCTCCCTCTCCCTCTCTCTCTCTCTCTCTCTCTCTTTCTCTCTCTTGAAGAGGTTAATAACAAACCTATACCGTTGTAAACTATAACTAACCCACCATCTACCATACTGTACACACACTGTAATGTCCTAAACAGAACGCTTCCCTACTATACTTCCACATTAGCCAGGCTATCAGAAGGTGTTCTCATACCCCTAATAAGGGCCCTAAAGAGGGGAATGAGTCAGTGAACTAAGCATACGGTATAAATCCACTGACCCTTCTCATCAATGATGCAGAATAAGTGAACAGAAACATGCTTACCCTTTTAGCTGCTACGGTAGAGGGGGAGAGGATGAGAGAGGAGGGAGAAAGCAGGAGAGAGATGAGAGAGGGGGGAGAGAGGAAGAGAGAGAGAGTTGAGAGAGCAAGAGAGGGGGAGAGAGAGATGAGGTACCCATCATCATTAATGCTTTAGATTAGTGATGACAGATACAGTTACAGTATTGTTATATCAGTAATATCTCAAGTCAAGTGTTTTTTATCAAGGATGATGTGTTTGGATAGTCTCTGGGGAGAGATGACATTGATCTGTTAAGAATTACTCTGACAGGGGGATTCTTACACACCAACACACACACACACACACACACACACACACCTTATTAGGTTATAATTACAATTTGACCTTTAGTAATTAAAAACCAGGTAAACAATAATGTATAATAAAGCTAAATCACAATATGAATAGCATTTCCTCTTCCAGGGCAACTTTGAATTTATCATTATCACAACCACTGAGTTGGAAATGATGCCCTCTCAAGATAAGAGAAGTGCTTATTGTTTGATTAATTCGTTCCCTCTCCACTATAACAGCTTGATCAGGAGTCAGGAGGTAATTTCATTGAGGTGACATGTTATCTAAACTACAGGAATAAAAAGCTATTATGCTAATATCATCTCATAGTCATCAATCATCCGCGATAGAGCTTTCACATCATTCCTTGTTCCCCCTCTGTGTGTGTGTGTGTGTCGGAGGGGGAGGGAGGGAGGGAGGGAGGGAGCGAATTGAACACATCCTCATTATATTTACCGGGATCCCGGGGCGGTGTGTGCGCTCGTGTGGAAACAAAAATCTTTAAGCGAGCAGGTCTGTCATTCACAGACACCGTCAATAACGGGAAGGAGTCTATGGTTTTAGACAGTTTGGAGAAACTGCCCCGAGTTATATAGTTGTATATTCTTTCTCGTCTTGTAGTTCAATGAAAGCAGACTTTGATACGTTTACTCTGCAAGATAATTAGGAGGAATTTAGGTCTATACCGTCGTTTTTTTCCACAATGAAAGCATGCTTTTCTAACTCAGTGATGCTTTTTGACCGCTTTTAATTTATTGAATATATTTTGTATTATTTTACACATTTGTATTTCTCCACGAAACGGGGCTAAATCGAAGGTCCTGAACTAAATATGCGTTTCTGAAGGAGATGACCCGTAGTTGTGCACGCGAGAGTCCATGTGACGTCAGAGAGACAGGCGCGTTAAAAGCAGAGAGCGCATCAGGAGTGGCATGGTTGGTTTGTGGATCATAGATCACAACATCACTGCCTCTTTGTACTGCAAATAATGTGTTTCACCAGACTGACTGGACGGTAAACATATTCATTAATTCAGCGCGTCACCAACCGTCAACCGACTTGGACACCTGAGCCATCCCAAAAAAAAACATCCCAAGGGAGAATTGCTCTATAGCTGATGTTTCTCTAATATCTCAATAGAAGAGCCGAAGAATAGCTGAAGCAGACTGTTCATTACAAACCAAATCTTGGGTGCCGGCACTTTACCCGCCGTGGAAAGCAGTGTGTCTTAGTGTTGGTTTGATTTAGTCAAAGTTACCTCTACGCACAGATCTAGCACAAGCGTAACTTCCCCAGATTCAATCTTCGGAGGGGAATCGCAGAACTGATCTTAGATCAGCGTCTACGGGCTACTTGATCCTGACGCATGGATGAGTGACAGTTGGACATTGTGCTCGTGCTTGATCCTTTAAAGTTTGACGACATTCACTGATGTTTGATATCATGGCTTACCCGCAGCTAGGATATCCCTACTCACCTACACACCAGGTAAGGCGTCTTTTACTAAGTTAGAAGAAACTTGAAATAAATTGTGGTGAAAGAAAACATTGTTTGTTTCTGTACTTTATAGGCTAGTGTCTCTGGTTTTGCACATACATCAGATAGCCTACTTTTTTGTTTGTTTTACAAAATAACTGTAATTTATTGATAGCATTTTTCGTTTTGGCTATATTTTTCCTGAAGAATGTTTTCTTGTTTTCGGGCCAGTTCCTCATGAGCACGAGCTCTTTGGCCAACTGCTTCGAGCCTGGCGGAAGGTCTCTCCTGGACTCAGGTGTGACGCATCCCTCTCCCCAGCCTCTTCGGTGCCCAGTGTACGAGAGCAGGCTGCTCGGCTCCCCAGGCCAGGAGCTACCAACCCCGGCTATAGGTCTGGGTGTGTACGGAGCTGGCTATGGAAAGAGCCAGGGGTACTATGGCACCTGCGGAGGCGACGCAACAGCTCTATATGCCAGGGTAGGTAGGCTTTTCTATATTGACTTTCCTTCTATTTTTTCTTTCTTTCTTATTTTTTCACTTAATTGGTTATGTCAGCTAAAATAAAAAGGAAAACCCTTTGCCCAATTCGTGCGCACTGGACTGATCCATATCTGTGGTGTGCAACGTAGAATAAACAAAAAATAATTGACTCCGTTTTTGAAAGGTTTTGTCAAGTTATGTCAATGAAAATATTTTGATTTCATATTTGCAGGGAACCTTGGAGTCCAAAGATGGAGCGTCTGCACATGTGGGGGCCTCTCAAACCCCTGCGTACTATCCGTATGATTACGCATTTGGGCAGTATCCATATGACCGATATGGGTATGCCTACTAAACATGTTATCTGTTTCTAAATAACTTGTAATTCTGTTAGAAAACATAAAAATATTATCAGAATGTGAGAAATAGGGATAAGGCATGCATAATTGATGCATAACATAGTTCCATTTACACACACATATCTCTTGCACATATAATATGTCAAACACCAAGTACAAGGAGGAAAAAAATACAATATTTGAAAACGAAGCTCCAGCACATTTTAGATCCATTAAACATAATGTGAAAAATGCAATATTTGGAAGAGTTTCTCTGTCAAATTCACCGCTATTCTGACACCACTCCCCTCACCTCCCTTCTCCCAGGTATGGGTCATCAGTGGACAGTGCCGCGGCCCGAAGGAAGAACGCTACCAGGGAGACCACCAGCACTCTGAAGGCCTGGCTGCAGGAGCACCAGAAGAACCCGTACCCAACCAAGGGAGAAAAGATCATGCTCGCCATCATCACCAAGATGACACTCACACAGGTAACAACTGGCTCAGTGTTTGCGGACGAATATGTTAGTTGGAGCTCTACTGAACTTATCATGTGTTACAGTACATGTATGATCGAGGAGCACTAGGCACTGGTTAATCACAGAAGAAGATTACATCCCACAGAAATGTGTCTTCTGCTTTATCCTAAACACTCCAAAAGACCCCAAATACACACACATTACGATGCCCCTGGAGCAATTTTAGGGATTAAGTGCCTTGCTCAAGGCCACAACAGTAGGCTTGGGAATTGATCAAATATGTAATGATTTATTAATGTGTTTGTTCATTCAGGTGTCCACGTGGTTTGCCAACGCACGGCGGCGGTTGAAGAAGGAGAACAAAGTCACATGGTCACCACGAGCCAATAAAAGCTCTGATGAGAGGGGCTGTGATGATGACAGTGATGGTGTGGAGGGATCGCAAGAGGAGGAGCCAATAAAACGCGAGATAGATGTTGATGGTGAGTGCATGCGTACCATAGATTTATATCATTAACTAGACAAACCCATTAAAATGCTACCCGCTCTCACAGTCACGTCAGAATTAGATGTTCATCCATGTTCCTCAAACTTCAAATTTGGATTTGAATTAAGTTTAGGCATGAACTCTGAATTTTTAAGGTTAGGGTTAAGTTCAGGGTTAAGTTCAGACATTAACTCCAAATTCTTAAGGTTAGGCATTAACTCTGAATGGTTAAGGTAAGGGTTAAGGTTTGGGATAGGCTTAAAACAAAAATATCTAAATCAACTTATCTATCGCTGGATTAAAACATGCAACCTTTGGAATCAGAGGCAGATGCTTACTGTTTCCCCTAGTGGCCGGTTTCCACGTCATCTCCCGACGTCCTCAGACATGGATGGACGTCGAATACTGACTTGTATCACGGGTGACCTGGCTGCTAAAATGGCTTCCCATTCATTTAGATGGAAGTTGCTTTCTATCCGTGCTGTCAAGTTTGAGATTGTTAAAACATCTATGTATATTTTGGTTGTAGATTCTGTAATGGGGAGGTGTATGGACCTACAACAGAGTGACCTTGAGGACTTTGATCTGCTAGAGTCAGATGGTTCTGACTGCGACCCTAAACACCAGTTTCACACCAAGGACACCCCAGTACACACACCACCGGACCAACGGCACCACCCCAAAGACCCTTCCAACAGCCCACTCACACATACCCCAGACACACCCCAACATGGGAACCAGCGATTGCCACTGTCAGCAGATTGCCTCAAACACACACCAGACCATGACCGAACAACCAACTCATTCTACACTCAACGGGACCTGCGAAGTACAGAGAGCAGTAAACCTAAAATCTGGTCCATCGCACAAACTGCTACAATCCAACCGGAGTTCCCTCCATGCATGCACACAGCCACCCCAAGCGAGTCCCTCTCCCCAGGGGGGTATCCGACTGAAGTACCCCACCTGAAGGTGAGGGCGGCTGAGCAGCAGGACTCGCCGGTGGCTACCCTCAGAGATTGGGTGGACGGGGTCTTCCACAACCCACTGTTCAGACAGAGTTCCTTTAAACCTGTGTTGTCCAAGTCAGCCGTGGACAGGGTGTGGATTGGGTTAAATGGATAGGCGATGGAAGGCAGAACTCTGTTGAACATGTTACCTCGTCTTTGCAGCATGTATAAACTTCCTTAGAGAGACATTCAGAGACTGCTATCCTCTCACCATTTGAATTAACTCAACATGAGCAGAAGGCTATCTGAACTCCTTATGATACTACATGCTTCCATGCCTTTTTTTGTTTGAGAAAAATGTCAATACATCAACGTACATCAACGTCAGTATAATTACGTTATAATGACAAACATTAAAAAACAATGATGTGTTGCATAAATATCAAATTCGGACTACTTTCATTTTAAATGCATTTTCAAATGAGTGGAAAAAAGAGGGCTTCAATCCCTTGGGACACTAAGAAAAGAAAAGGAGTAGCCTACCCATTCTCCCCCACATTCAACAGATTAGAAAGTGCTGGATTGTTTAATCACTAAAACATGTTGTTTTATGAAATGGGAAGTGGGGACACAGAGTATCACCTTTTCCAGACCTGTTATAATAACATGAAGCATGACAGCACAATGTTTCCTCTTAAACCAAGTAGAGCATAATATACAGTATGTTTTGCTTATGATCACATCTGAAAGACACATTTCACACTTCTTGCACTAAAGTCCAATTGCAGTTGTTGATTCACGGAAATAAACAATTGTTTTTTTGCAGAATCATGTTCTCTGTTGAGTCTGATTTCTCATTGCGTTCGCTCTCCATGGTGCTGAAACGGGTGCGTTGTTGAGCGGCCTATAGCCTACGTTTTGCAAACGGAACTATCTTACAAAATCGAAAGGAAGACCTTTTATGGGTGCCTTGTTTTCGCTCTCCATGGTGCTGAAATTGTGCCGCGTAAACCTACATCTACTAAATCACATGGGAATATATCATAGCCTACGACATTAAAAATATATATATATATATAATAATGATAAAAATAAACATATTATTACCTATTATATTTATAGGTTTATTTTATATTTTGTATTGAACTTTCAATTTCCTCCAAGACTGAATATTTTGCACATATAGTTCCTCAATTAATGCATCTTGGAGTGCGAGAGAGCGTGTGAGCTATTTTTCCCTCAGTTGTGTGTGTGTGTGTGTGTGTGTGTGTGTGTGTGTGTGTGTGTGTGTGTGTGTGTGTGTGTGTGTGTGTGTAAAAGGGGGCAAGCTGGGCATCGTTGAGCCGTGACTAATTCCAACACAGAGGACAGGGCTACTAAATTGTTAAATCGATACCACTTCCACCGCGGGCCCAGATATAGCAGCAATCAGCGATGCGTCTCTTTTCATTAGCCGGCTTTTGACTGCATCAACCTGGGACCATGAGCTGCGCATCCACCGCTCGCTAAACGGGTCATGATAAAATATACTCCATTATAGAATATACACCATTAATCTAATAGCTTTATCTCCACTGACTTCATGCAATATCTTCTGATTTGCCCGCTGAAGGGATAGGAGTAGCCTAGGTCTAACATTTTAAGAGATCCATGACATGATGCCATTCAACCCGAGGGTTGAGTGAGACTTTTCAACAGTTTGAGGTTTTCTTAGAATAATCACTGGCATGAGAGGGATCGAATGGATTAATTATATTGATACAAATCAGTTAAAATCCGATCTGGTAAACATCTTTAAAATATATATATTCAGTAAGGGCCTACATCATGGACTTATTTTGATTGTCTTTGAATTACCACACCCATCATATGACTATCACTTTATAAGATGCTTAATTAAAGTTGTTGCATCAAGGAGGTATAACATTACAGGCCTACTGGAATAGCTTTCACACCCTCTCTTCAACTCAAATCCTACAATATCCCCAAAACCTTAAGTTGTCAAAAACAATAAATTATTCAACATAACTTCACGAATTTTAGGCTTCCTAAAATGTTCCATAAACACTTCCTAAATAAGAGTTGAAGAACAATTATAAGGTATGGTCCAGGATGGATGAACTACTGTTCCCTCTCTCTTCTTTTCTCCTCTGTTTTCGGTTTAGGAAAGATGATAAAGTATTAAACAGAACAGAGCCGAGATCTTCCGAGGCCTTGTATGGAATTAACCATTTCAGTCTAAATAATTCAAAACGAATTCAACCGAGAATTCCATTCTTTTTCTGCTTCATAAATAAATTAGATTTAAGATGATAAATAATGACATCTGGCTCTTCCTGTAAAGTTTACTTTCTTGAGCACAATGAATGGAGCCATAATATAACAAAGAATCCTCTAGTCATATTTACAGAGAGCTAACTAAGGATTATAAAAGCGGTATGGTGATTAGCCTATACAATAAATTAGCTCTGAAATGTTGCTGTAGGCTATCATTCTATTGTATTAAATTGCAATTTGTGAGATGATAAACTTTTAACCCCGAATGTGAACTCTACCCCTGAGCCAAGACACTCAATAATATGCCTATATCGAAAGGTTGAAAATGAACCACCCCCAAAGTTCAGTGTGTATATATCATCCATGCCTTTTAGCTCTGAGGTGAGGGAGATGTGAGGGCAAAGATATGAAGCGATAGGAGGAGAGAGGGAGAGTGCGCTTAACGGGACTGGAGTACCTGTTTGCACCCTCAGCTACTGTGGGGACAGGGGCCCCAAGTGCTGGGGAGCACTAGCCTATCTTGCAGAGCACTGCACTGCTGAGTGGCAACTTGAAGGTTTTCTCCACTGTGGGTTAAGTTCAATACTGCATGTGTTCCATCTCTCTGTCTGTCGTTTCCAGTTGAGATGTGAATCCGTTCTCCATCCTCTCTTTGTCCTTTCTCCCTCTTTACCCTCTTCTGACATCC